AACACTGCAATGAATGGGTGGGAGAAATGAATAAAAATAGCCAGCTATGAACAACTGATTTTCAGATTGAACAATGAGGAGGAGAGATTCATTGAACTGTGGGGTCCATACATGAATCTTGTACGAGATGGAAGACTTGAGTAACAGAATGGAGAAATTTCCTGGTGGATGAGAGCTGGGGCTTGTCTGTGACAAAAGTCTGGGGATGTGGGGAAGTGGAGTTTGTGGGGGAGGTGGGAGGGGTTAAACTTGTTTATGTATGTTTTTTTTTTTTTAATTATTATTTATATATTTTAATCTCTTTTTCTGTCATGCTGTGTTGTTGTGTTTCGGTCATTGTTTGTGTTCAGACATGTTGGTTGTTTTGCTGTTTTGTTATAAAGCAATTAAAAAAAAAAGTAAATTACAAGAAACCCAACACCCCCACCTCTTTGGAACTGGGCCTCCTTGTTGGCTCCCACAGCAGCGATCAGACTGGGTTGGTTGACACTGCAGTGTTGGAAGAGATGGGATGCGGATGCAGTTATTGAATATGAGCCAGCATCATAGTGCCTTTCAGTCTGGAGAAGGCATCATTTATTTAAAGAGCATTTATGTAATTCTTTATTATTTGGAGCAGTATGTATGTACACGTCTTGAAAAATGCTACAAGTATCAAACTCGAGGTGGATCAGTGAAATGGTATTTATGAAAGGTAGCTGCAGTCGATACTAATTAGGCCTTCACCATACATGACTGACTGTTAAAACAGTGAACAGGGAAGGGCATTTTCTTTGTTTAACATATCTTTGTAACACACTTGATAACTTTATGGTGAATAGTGGAGGATAGAAAATGAACGCATTTTAGAATACTTTTTATGACCACTGCACCACTTTGTAAAGCTAGAGTGGGACGATGTATAGTATGGATCGTGTTAGCTTAGCTTCATGGTTGCTAACAGCGGCACTAAATGAACAATCCCTGCTCCACTCGCAGTTTAGGGGCTGTTCACACAGCGAATATATTTTGAGTGAAACCGCTCCTTTCGTTCTGCGGTTCAGCTGTTCATTTACACACTAGTCGCCCCCCTCTTTGAATCTGGAGGTTTATCAACCCACCTCAGTGTAGAGGTTTGTGAGGCAGCTTCCCACTGTTATGTATACAGCTCCCGCAGAGCGGTGAAAGCACATGCGCACAGGTGTATATTTCACTCGCGGCGCGATGGCATATTTCTATCAACAATGGCGACCGAGTATAACACTGCTTTCTGTGCTACAACTGATGGAATATATTTTGTGTCTCGTAGTTAATCTATGCCATAATGTAACTGCTGTGACCGACATCTGTGTTGGGAAGAGACACCAGTCAGATCCAGTTCTAATATCGCTGAACGAGACTGTCGAGGCAGGCGTATATTTCACGTGTCGCGCTGGACAAAAACATACTAAATGTGCCTAATAAAACAGTATTTCTGTTAGTTGTGGGATATGTAATGAAGCTATCTGGACATTATGTAATTCAAGTTGTGTGATTTTAAACAATGCAAAACATGTTGCATGTTGTTAAAGTTGAAAATGAAGACACCAGGTTTAATTTTTATTTTATTTATTCGACATCACAAATTATGTCACATAAACACTGCTAATTAACTTGAACACTATTAAAACACATTAACTGAACTGTAAACTGAACTGGACCCTTCTTCTCTGTTGTCGTTCTGACTACTGACACCATGTTGTTTATCTGGCTTGTTTAGGCTGTCACTCCTTTGCTTAATGTAGCTTAAAATATTGAATGGATTGGAAAAAAGAACTGAGGGGAAATTTAAGTGAATAGTTGATCCATCATCTCTCTTTGACGTCGTCCTGCACCGCTGAGGTCTCTGCTCTTTCGGAACCGGTTCGCCTCTGATGGGGAAATGGCTTCTCCTTGCAGGAAAAATAAAAACTTGGTAGTTGTGTAACCGAAGTAAACACAAGCTAACATTATTAAGAATGTTGATTTACCTGCTGTAACTCGGCTACTGATTATCACCCGAGTAGAAAGCCCAATATCATCCTCGTCAGTTCTGGTCCGCTCAGTGACCGGTGTCGAGCTGTTTGATGAAGCGGTCCAATTGGCGTCAAATCCTTTGACTTGTATCCAAAATCCATCTTTAACTTGTTGTTAAGTTGTTATTAGCTGGGCTTTCAGCCCAGAGGAAAGTCCTTCCTAAAGGTGCATTTACACCAGCCCTGTTTAGTCCGCTTTAATCGAACTCTAGCTCGTTTTCCTTGAAAGTCCGACTCGTTTAGGGAGGTGTGAACGCGCCATCGAACTCTATCACGGAACAAAAAGGTGAACTCTGGCCCGGGCTAAAACCTAGGTCTCGGTCCGGTAGAAGCGAACTCCAGCGCGGTTCGAGTGCAGTGTGAATGTAAACAGACCGGACCCCGCTCCGCAGGGTAAACAAACACGCATTGCTCTGACCTTATATGGAGCAGTCAGCTGTCTTGTGTGAAAAACAATATTCTCCAGGGTCTTCTGTCTCATCTTGTACTCATGCTAAGTCCATTTTTGAAAAATGACAAAATATAACTCCTAAAACTGCTAAAACTTGATGCCACTTCGTTTTTATTTTTATTTACAGAAGAAGAAGATGTGTCTTCAGAGGTTTTTGTGTCGTTTCTTTCAATAGTTCTTGGTGCAGCGCCCCCACAGGCGAGCGGGGGAATAGGTTGGTTCAACAGGTTGACTCGACTGCACAGTGCAGTGTGAATGCAAACTCACCAGCTCAAATGTAAATGAAAGGTCATGAATATTGGTCCCGAACCGAACTGAGTCTACCGGACTCAGTAGACATTCACATTTTCTTAGTGTGAAAATGACCTAAGAGTAGTCCCAGGCAGCACGCATGCACATTAGGTGAATGTACAAAATTCACAGCGCCAACTCATGACCCGGCATAGCAACTACAGTGTATTTGGGGGATTCATGTAAGCACGAAATGTAGCCAACGCAGATTTTTTTCTTCGAATCAACATCCAAAAAAAAAAACTGTTTGTGAACAGCAGTTTTCAGCTTTTTCCACAGATTCTCAATTGGATTCAGGTCTGGACTTTGACTTGGCCATTCCAATACCTGGATACGTTTATTTGTGAACCATTCCATTGTAGATTTGGCTTTATGTTTTGGATCATTGTCTTGTTGGAAGATAAATCTTTGTCCCAGTCTCAGGTCTCTTGCAGACTCAAACAGGTTTTCTTCCAGAATGGTCCTGTATTTGGCCCCATCCATCTTCCCATCAATTCTGACCATCTTCCCTGTCCCAGCTGACGAAAAGCTGGCCCAAACCATGATGCTGCCACCACCATGTTTGACAGTGAGGATGGTGTGTTCAGGGTGATGAGCTGTGTTGCTTTTACACCAAACATATTGTTTGCATTGTGGCCAAACAGTTCGATTTTGGTTTCATCTGACCCGAACACCTTGTTCCACATGTATGGTGTGCCACCCAGGTGCTTGTGGGTAACTTTAAACAACACTTTTTATGGATATCTTTGAGAAATGGCTTTCTTCTTGCCACTCTTCCATAAAAGCCAGATTTGTGCAGTGTACGACTGATTGTTGTCCTATGGACAGACTCTCCCACCTCAGCTGTAGATCTCTGCAGTTCATCCAGAGTGATCATGGGCCTCTTGGCTGCATCTCTGATCAGTCTTCTCCTTGTTCAAGATGAAAGTTTAGAGGGACGGACGGGTCTTGGTAGATTTGCAGTGGTCTGATACTCCTTCCATTTCAATATGATTGCTTGCACAGTGCTCCTTGGGATGTTTAAAGCTTGGGAAATCTTTTTGTATCCAAATCCGGCTTTAAACTTCTCCACAACAGTATCTCAGACCTACCTGGTGTGTTCCTTGGTCTTCATGATGCTCTCTGCACTTTGAACAGAACCCTGAAACTATCACAGAGCAGGTGCATTTATACGGAGACTTGATTACACACAGGTGGGTTCTATTTATCATCATCAGTCATTTGGGACAACATTGGATCATTCATAGATCCTCACTGAACTTCTGGAGTGAGTTTGCTGCACTGAAAGTAAAGGGGCCGAATAATATTGCACGCCCCACTTTTCAGTTTTTTATTTGTTAAAAAAAGTTTGACGCATCCAATAAATTTCGTTCTACTCCACGATTGTGTCCCACTTGTTGTTGATTCTTCACAAAAAATTAAAATTTTATATCTTTGTTTGAAGCCTGAAATGTGGCAAAAGGTTGAAAAGTTCAATGGGGCCGAGTACTTTCGCAAGACACTGTAGGGGCTTGAGGGCTTGTGCAGTATCTTAGTTTTTCCAAGGAGCCTCATTGGTCACAAACTACAGAAGAGGGTAGTGGTGATAGATGTAACAATCCTAAGTGACTGTAATGTCAGGAAGTCACAGCACAAGATAAATAAATGCCATGGGCTGTAAGTGGAAATGAAGGTGTGGAGAGTGAAGGCCTCAGTGGTGCCATTGGTCTTCAGAGCACTCTGGGCTGTGATCCCCAACCTGGAAAAGTCGCTCCAACAGATCCCAGAAACAACCTCGGAAACCTTTTTCCAGACAAACAGATCTAGGAACAGCCAAGATACTGCACAGACTCCTCAAGCTCCCACAGTTACAGGCATTAGCAGAATAAGCTGTACCCAAAAATATATTTGTACTCAAAGGTCAGTTATCCTGTCTTTATGCTGATACAATCACACAGCTGTCAAATGAGACTGAGCAGCCTTTACTGATGCTTCTGTAATGACCGTACATTCAGATATCTGAATTGCATTATATTTTTGGCAATAACACTGTTCAGAACCGTTAGTTGCATTTTTTGTCATCTCTTGATTAGATTAACTACAGCTCTGTCGGAGTAAATATGGGAGATTTTAACCTGTTGTGTGCACAACTCTGTTAATTTTTTTTTAACACTTCCACTGTAAACGTGGATATCCTAAATTTTATTGGTTTAGTTACATAACTTCCTTTTTTCTGTCTTTCTCAGGGAAATGAAGCCAGTTACCCCCTGGAGATGTGCTCACATTGTAAGTATTTTGAATCTGTACTTTCTTCAAATGTAATGAGAATGATGGTCATTTTATTTTGAAGTGTTTATTCAGTATAAGATTTTGGTCTGAGTTGTTGATTAGCAAGAACAGATCCTAGTTTTTTATTTTTTGTTTTTCCCTAAAACAAGAGAAACATTGTAGATTTGTTTCTTTGTGTCCATGAGCGCCACCATATGTAGTTTTTCTGGTGTTGTAAATGTATAATTTCTTGGTAAAGCCCATATTCAAATTACTTATTTATTTTAGTATCATTTGGCAGTTATTTTTAATACATTTATTTTTTAACTCAAATTAAAGTTCATATTCACAGGATAGCTGTCATGTAGGGGTGTTAAAGTTGTTTTGATGTGTATAAAAATGACTTATTTTTTAACATCTTTCATTTTTTCTACATCATTGTACATGAACTTAATGTCTCAAGTCCCTTTGGGTTAAAAAGTCCTAAGAGATGCAGATTTCTCACCACCTCTGGTGCAAATGGATCATTTTACACTTCAGGGCCAAACTGTAAGGATGAGCAGTGGCTTGTGTTTTAATGAGCACTGAGGGACTTGCTGCTGCCTGGACTGATGTCATAATGCATTTACACAAATGATAGTTTTTACATCAAAGCTTTGACAGTAGTTGGTGAGACTTTTGGTGTTACACTTTTAAAAGGTATGTAGGAGGCAGAGGTGAGATTTAACTGTTCTTTAAAATGATAATAATCACCATATGCTAAAGTCTTGATTCAACTACAATTTTTATTTGTTTTAGAATAAATTATTTTAAATCAGAAGCTGTAAAAAATAATTGTAAATGAGGATTTTATTTATTTACCTGCCACTGAAGGAGAGTGATTTGCTTTTGTGCATGTCTATACCAATAGCAAAATACCTCGCGTATCACTGAGTGGATTTAGATAAACACATAAATGGCTATAATTCAGTTTTACATATATGACTGAGGGAAAAAATCTCTCGCTAGCTTTGCAGACGTTTATCCAGCAACCAGAGTTCAGTGCAGTCCCTCTTCCTGTAGCCAGCTGCAGTCAGCAGCACAGACATGACCCGTGGCTATCGGCAAGTCGGCCTCCAGATGGAGATAAGATAATGTTTTGTGCATGTTGTCATGGCAGCAATGCCAAGGAGGCACTGGGAGACAGCGAGACGGCCTCCGGGCTGAGATAAGATTGTTGTGGGCGTGTTCTCAAAAGCAGGAGGGAAAGATGTTCTTAGCCATCTCAGCCGTAATATAGAACCACAAAAAAATATTCATACCGGAAATTCTTTAACAATGACCTAAAGTTGGATGTGGTAATAAATGAGCACGGTCCTAAACTCATACTTTGAGTACAACACACTGAGCATAATTTAGCTTCAAACCTTTCATTAGATGGATGGAATTAGCTTTTAGGAGTCCACCTTGTGTGTCTCTTAGCATAAGAATGATCTCATCCCTGAATGAGTTTTAATGACTGTCAGAAAAGTAATCATATGTACAACTGACAGCCTTTTGGAGTTAACCCAACTAAAGATGGCCACTACAGCTAAATAGTCTTAGCCTACACAAAACAGCTGCTTATTAGTAAATTTACAGATATTTAGTTTCATTCAACCTTTATTTAGTCCAGTAATTCTCACTGAGCCTCGAGGACTCATTTATAGGAGAGACCTGATTTCAACAAAGAATAATGACAACAATGGACAACAGCGACAACAATAAACGGTTATAAAAGGCATACAGATTTTATTTTATTTTTTCAAATAAGACGTCAAAAAATAACAAACAGCTAGATTATAAAGCGAATGTAGAAAACTAAAAACAGGAACATGTCTGCATTGGCCCCTGCCAGGAGTCCAACAGATTTTTAAAGCCATTTAGAGATTTCAAGGTCGAGAGCTTCAGATATTTTTGTAAGATATTACAGGAAACAGGAGCGGAGTAGGAGAAGGCCCTTTTGCCAAGTTCAGTCTGCACGGAGGGAACACTGCAGGTAATAATGTCCTGAGAGCGCACGCTGTAGCTGCACTCACACAGAGACGTGTAGGAGGAGATGTATGAAGGCAGCAGATCAAGAAGTGATTTAAAGATGAAAATGTATCGGTGAGAGAATATGCATGAAGTTAATGATGTCCAGTTAACCAGTGAATACAGGGTGTAGTGATGGGTACGATAATCACAGCCAGTTATGAATCTTAGTGCACCATGTTAGTTAATCATGTTAGTTCATCTTAGTTAAAATTTGGTGTGATAGTAGCGGACAATCTTTCACAACACATACTCCAAGCACTGTTTTTTTCATTATATTGCAAAATTACCTGATATTGTGCATATTTTCAAGGTTTGGTCAAAAGAGCTACAGCATTTCTTAACGGGTAGACAAAAGGAATTTTCCGGGTTGTCCAGTTGATAAACTCTTGTTGTCCGCTAAAATGTTTGGTTGTCCGCAATCTTTACAATGAAGGCAAAAAAATCTCAAGAAAAAATGTAATTTAATAAGTACATACCAGTGTTCCCCTACCATTATACAAGCGGGACACCCTGCTCCGTCAACAGAACCGAGCGCCCCACCTCGGCACTGACATGGCGCTAAGTGCAATACAGGCGTGCTAGCTAAAAAGCTAAAGGCAGTTCTTCTCTCGCACTGAAATCCTCGCTTCTCGAAACCTGTCGACACAGACGGCAGGTCAGACGTGTCTTCCACCCCCCACCCCCGACAAAAATCACAGATGAGATGAACGCACCGCCATGACAAGTTATCCAGGGGAAGCACTGCATACTATATACAAAGTTTACTAAATCCAAATGCTCTGTCAGCCATCTTGTGGACGGCTTGACATTTGCAAACTCCTGAGTGGTAGCATCTTACAGGAGCTTCTCGAGTGGAACTTCCTCGCTCTCCTCTTCCTCGTCATCAGACTTTGCAAAAGAGGCACTCGCAGCATATTTAAGGCAGGGATTAAAGCAGAAATAAATATTTTGACTGAAATTTTTTCTATATCTAGAGGTAAGCACCCCCCCACCTCCTTTTTTTTTTTTTTTGCCAGACACAGATTTTTCCCTTAAAATAATTAATACATTCAAAGGAATTATTTTACAGGATTTCAGCTCATAGTAATTTAATCTATTTATTTGATCATTAATGTGGGTGGGAAAGGTGAAGCATACACACCTGCCTCCACCCTCATTTGTCCCACTCTGGGCCCTTGAGCAAGGCCCTTAACCCCACCATCTGCTCTCCCAGGCACCCCAGATAGCAGCTCTCTGCTCCACACAGAGAGCTGTGGTAGCTCGGTGGTCTGTGGTTGTATCAGTAAGGGCATCACATGTAAAATTAATTGCCATGTCTTTGTGCGAGTTAGTTTACTGAGGCGACCCCTGAAGAAGGGAGCAGGCGAAAGAAGAAAAGGGGAAAAAATACATAAAAATTTCATCATTTATTAAATTACATTTGTCACAGTATAGTTAACTTGCAGTATGATTCTAAATATAATCAAGTTTAGCTCATCCAAACAGCCCAAATATGTTGTTGCTTAAACACTGTGTAGAAATGACCTGATGCATGCTCAGTAATCTAGATAAATCTAATAAGGTTGAGTCGGGTCCTCTGGGTGGATTCTTCTTTGTGGAAGACTTGAATGTGTAGTACTGAATTTAACAGATTTGTTTGATAAACTACACAAACCTGAAATGGGCTCTCATGGAGAACTTTGTTCGTTTGGGGAATGAAAATAAAACGGGGAGACACATCTTTGTCATAATCTGGGGCATATAAATGTTTATTTTAGTTTTAATATTGTTTAATTAGAAGAACTAAAGCTGCAGACACTCCTGCGCTCAGCCTGTGTCCGTGTTTCCTCTTTTAGATACAAACGTCCTGGGGATTGGGGGCACAATATGGGAGGATGGGGCGGTGGAGCGCTGGTGTATCAGTTCAGGGATCTCCCACGGCTGCAATGAATTGGTCACATGCGAACACATACGTGGACGCTCAATGATTTATTACACCATCACCTTCGGTTAGGATAGCGGGGGTGTCCTCGTTGGAAAATGGAAATCGGGTTGTCCGAGATGAAAATAGTATGTCTTACACAACCGCTTATGTCCACCCCTGCTTAACTTTTTTATTTTTTTTAATTATTATTAACCTGTATTTAAACCAGCAGATCCCAATTAGATCACAGATCTCTTTTGCAAGGGAAACCTGGGCCTGAGGGCAACCTAACACGTTTTTGGACTGTGGGAAGAAACCATGGTACTCTGAGAAAACCTACACAAAAACGAGGAGAAACACGAGCAGACGTTGACCTGCCCCAAACTCTACACAGAGAGACCCCAAGTCCAAACTGGGGATTGAATCCAGTACCTTCTTACTGGGAGGCAACAGTGCTAGCTACTAAGTCATCATGCTGCCCAACTATAAGACAATTTTAGTTTGAAACTCTGGCATGAAAAGTGGCAGGCAATATGCATTATTTCAGTGAGTGGAGGCTGTTATTTATATTTTGTTTCTTAGTTTGTGCAACAACTTATTTCATTGTCACGTTTGACACAAGGCATAATAAAAAAAGGACTGTGGACAGAACAGCACTGAAGCTTGTCCATACTTAGTGGAGGACAGGACCTTGGCCTGCCTGGCCTTCCAGGCATCCCTCAGTATTATGGCACCACAGAGAGGGGAGGTGAATCATGACCGTAAACTGAATTAATCGAGGCTCTCGGTGCTCTCTCTTTAGATCGTCTTTCCTTTTCCATCATGCATGTTGTGCTCACCCTGCCTGCACTGTCCTGTTATCATTGTGGTTTTTATTGATTTACTCTTGTTAACTATCTTGTGCCCTGTTTTGCTATTTAGCTCTACAATAGACACCAAGTCCAACTATTTGAATTGAATAAAAACAGAAAATAGTTTTATTACTGATATTTGACTTGGGAAAATGTTTGACAAAACAGGCAAATATTGAATGCAGCCATAAAATAATTGAGAAACTATT